AAAATTTACAGTGTACACAATGAAAAGGTCCAATGTTGTTTTGTATTTTGTAGAAGAGAAATTCATGCTGGATTGTAATGTCATGAGGGTGAGCAAATTATGCCTTTTTAATTCTAACCATAGATTTAATGGCGTAGGTGACAATGGGCAAGATAATTAATTTCAGAGGTTCTTACATTTAGATGAAAGATCATGAAAATATTTTTCCACCTTTGAAATAACATTTTCAGGATTTCATGTTCCCTGAATTCTATTATCTGGATGCCCATTGGTAGCTGACATGATGGAGACACAAAATGCACCGATATTAACACAAGTGAAGAGCACTCCAAACACAGACAGACCCTCTCATCCCATTTACAAATAAAATATGTAATGGTGTCATTTTGTGCCAAAACACACAATGTGTTCCACATAATTGAAAAGGGATGACATTCACAGCCTGGATAAGAGCACAGCAGCCAAAACACAGAAAAGAGCCTGATTCTCCTCAGCTAAATAGGCTATTTCTATTCAGTGGAGGCATTTCAGTCAAGCCACGTCAGTCATATGAATGGATGTTCATACTCATGTGTTAATCAGTGTAAATCCACAGGCTGTAATATTCTGCCTGGGTTAATTACGGTAAAAAAAAATGGCAGGATGGATTTCACACGATTTGTTACAATAAAATACTGTGTTCAGACTGAACTCTATTGTGAAAGACTAGCTCAACAAATTACAAACATAGCTAGATTAAAAGTGTGGAACACCCATAAAACCTCGAGTTTAAATGATCTGAAGTCTCCATTATGGTAATTAGCTTAATATTTAGTTAGGAATTTGGCTCTTAACTAGTATTATTTAATCTTTGTCTGAATAATAGTGTTAAAAGTGTAATGAATGACTTCAAGTCTCCCATGATAAATGTAACAATAAATTTGCAAAATTATTTAAGTAGCACTGATCCGAAATTATAAAGGTGAGAGCAATACTATGACGCGCTATTGTGAACTTCTACATAAAATATAAAAAGTTAATAAACCAGTAAACAGTAAACAAAACATGCAGCTGCATAATTAATTCATGCTGTGGTCATTAAAAACTAAAACTGTTTTCTTTGAAATACAGCTGAAATAAAATATAAATATCACATGAAGAACCTAAATGAAAAATGTAAATAAAAATAGAAATGTTGCCTTGCTGAAATAACTGAAATAATATAATTTAAGTTGCAGTATTAAAATTATTAAAACTAAAACTGAAATAAAAATAAATGAAAACTAAACTAAAAAATAAATATAAAAACATGAATTGACTCAAAAATGCAAAATGCAAAAAAAACACAAAATGACTCAAACTAAAATAATAAATGAAAATATATAAATAAAAGCTACTTAAAACTTAAATAACAAATTAAAATTAGAAATGTTGCCTTGGCAACTAACTGAACTAATTGAAGTTAAAATAAATTAAAGCTAAACAGAAATAGAAAAGTCAAAATTACAAAAGCATATAACAAGCTAAAAATAAAATGATATTTAAAAATAAAAGCAAATTATATTAATTATAACTAAATATTAACAGTACTAAAATAACACCGATGAAATATCTGTCATCTGTAAATATACGAGAGATTACTGTAATACAGACACAGAAAGTCACTTCCTGTTTACAGTGAGGTCACAGTATACGGCAGCCATGATAATAAACTGCAGAACTACTACAGTAAAAATGCCTGTGCAGTAGTATGCAGTTACTTCACACTGAATGCTTTCCCACTCCTGATGTGATAGTAGCTCGTCTTTTCTGCAGATCACTGAAATGAAAAGAAGCAGGTCTACAGAGGGAACATCTGCTCTTTGCATAAATACATGACACATGCAGAAATATCCAACGCTTTCTGCACCAGCATCTCACTAATGGGAGAATCTATTCTCCTCTCATTTCGGCCCCGAAATGATACGGCCCACTTCACAAACAAATGTCGCAGAGGCTCATATAGTGAATACTGAGAGCTCGGACGCATGTAAAATCCAGCAGTAAAACACAACAGGCCATGCAATGATGTTACCGTATTTTTCTAGCCCTTGATAAAACACAAAAGACAAATTTAATGCAAAACTAATCTCAGGCATGAAGTTGAGATCAGACAATCACACCTTCACCAAAGATCAATGCCACTAATCGATGCTCCGATTAGTTTTAGACCTAGTCTTGAAGGTCATCCATAAAGGTGCATGAAATACTGCTATAAAAATGTACACTGAGCATGTATCTCTGCAAAACTAAAGAACTGAAACTTTAGTTGGCACAAAACAGATGTTGCAACTGACTTTACTACCTTATTGTGGCGTATTTCCAAGTTTAATGGCTAAATGATGGCAGGACTTGATTTTATCCATCAGTTGTTGATTTGATTGTGAAAATTGAGCATTACAAACTGGATATAAAGGCAGAACAACTCTGGTCAGTAAAGATTTTTTATAAGAAATTAATATTTTTATGCCATTAGATGCATTAAATTGATAAAAAGTGACAGTAAAGGCAGTAAATATTTCTATTTTTCTTTTGAATCCTAAAAATATATAACACTTTCCACAAAAATATGAAGCAGCACAACTGTTTTCAGCATTGATAATAATCATAAATGTTTCTTAAGCAGCAAATCAGCATATTAGAATGATTTCTGAAAGATCATGTGACACTGAAGACTGGAGGAATGATGCTGAAAATTCAGCTTTGCATCACAGGATGCTGAAAATTGCATCACAGGAATAAATTACATTTTAAAATATATTCAAATAGGAAACAGCCATTTTAAATTGTAATAATATTTTACAAAATTACTGCTTTTACTGTATTTCTGATTAAATAAATGCAGCCTTGGTGAGCAGAAGAGACTTCTTTCAAAAACATTAAATATCATCGCCGTCCCCAAACTTATGGTAGTGAACATCATAGACATCAAATTAGCATATCACAGGAAGAGCAAGTTATTATTTTATGATTACAAGGTAAGAAATGCATATATGAAAAATAAATGCACAACTGATTCATCCACAATAAGATCTGTATGCATTAAGAAATTAAATAGGGTCAATTTTGATTTAATGTTGACATCTTTGCCAGAAATATTTGTAGAAATATAATAATAATAATAATTAATTACATTTATATAGCGCTTTTCTAGGCACTCAAATCGCTTTACATTGTCAGGGGGTATCTCCTCATCCACCACCAGTGTGCAGCATCCACCTGTATGATGCGACGGCAGCCATAGTGCGCCAGAACGCCCACCACACACCAGCTTATTGGTGGAGAGGAGACAGAGTGATGAAGTCAATCAGTAGATATGGGGATTGTTAGGAGGCCATGATGATCAGAGGCCAATGGGCAAATTTGGCCAGGATGCCGAGGTCACACCTCTACTCTTTTCGAAAGACATCCTGGGATTTTTAATGACCACAGAGAGTCAGGACCTCGGTTTAACGTCTCATCCGAAGGACGGATGAGAAATGTACCATTTATAAAGTGTCAGCTTCATTCTGTGATCTAAATTTTGCTTCTTGTTTATTAATATTGCAGAATTAATAATATTCTATATATCAAGTTCTGCTGTATTACCTCTGCTGTATTATGAATGATATTTCTCAATATTTCTTATTCACCCAAAGCCTCACAGAAATTTCCATGGAGATTTAGATTTTCATTTCCTATTCTCCAATAAGCAACATAAATAAATGCTTGATAACTGATGGTGTAGTCGTTATGTCGTATCTTGCCAATCCGTTACTGAAAATGTACATGTCAGTGAGCCTCCAACAGGTCAAATCCTGTAAACGTCAAACAAAAGCAAAACACATGCTGCCATTTCAGCACTTGACCCTGGTATTTGCTGCTTGAAGCTATAATACTGCATATATGATTACAATATTTTTTGATAAAATGCATAGATTTGGTCCTGGATTCTGCTTGGCCAATACAGTGTTATAGAAATGCTTAAAAAAGCAGACCTGTGCACCCATAGAGACCAACTATTAACGTTAGTATACATGTCAGGAACTACATTTTGTAGCGTAAGCCATGTAATATTGACTAACAATGACCCTGTACTCGAGATATCAACATCGACTAATGAAAAACCCATATTCCCAAATAATTCTACAACTACTGTAGAAGTTGACTTCCAGCCTGTGCACCTGAGACTCTGAACCATGAGAAACAGCACTATGGTAATGGCGTGTCCGCACTGAGGTGGCGAGAGCTCATTACTGAGAAACACAAAGCTCAGGAGAACGAGAGGAACAGACAGATGGTGCTTTACAGGCATGATGCGATCCTGGGCCACGGCGGTCAGCTCCACCGGGGTGGCCCACATGCATCACATGCGACAGCGCAACAAACTCTGATTCAGCTGAAGATCCACGGACGCGTGCTCTCACTGGCCTAATGCTCGCCTGTCAGCTTTCATTTGACTCAGGATAGAGTCTGATGCTTCACAGCTATGCTGTGCAAAGAAATATTACGGGTTCTGGACAAGCTAAGCTCAAACGACAGCATTTGTGGCTTAATGTTGATTACAAAAATAATTTCCATTCACTTCCTTTTTTAAACAAAAAAAAATTCAAAACTTAAGGTTATAATGAGGGTCTTTTAAATGGAAGTGAATAGGGCCAGTTTGTGGAGGATTAGAATAGTGAAGCATATAATTTTGCCTATATTTATATTTACAAAAAGGTTTTGGGGTTGGCTTCACACAGAAATGGTTAAGTGATTTTTTATACTAAAACCATGTTAACATATATTGTTTTATGTCACGTAGCTGAGCTATAAAAAATAAGAGTATTTTTACAAATCAGCCCTATCCACATCCATTGTAAGTGTCTTATTGTAACAGATTTTTTTTCTTGCGTTTTAAAGAAAAGTATGAACAAGGGGAAAAAAATACAGTACTATTTTTAAAATAATATTGCTCTTTAAAATAACTGTTTTCTGTTTGATTATATTTTAAAATGTAACTTATTCCTGTGATGCAAAGCTGAATTTTCAGCTTCATTACTCCAGTCTTCAGTGTCACATGATCCTTCAGAAATCATTCTATTCTATGATTTGCTGCTTAAGAAACATTTATTATTATTATTATTATTATTATTATTGATGTTGAAAACAGTTGTGCTGCTTCATATTTTTTTGGAAATCATGATAAATTTTTTCAGGATTCTTTGATGAATAGAAATTTCAAAAGAACAGCATTTATTTGAAATACATTTTTTTTTTTTTATATTTTAAATGTTTTTTTACTGTCACATTTGATTAATTTAATGTCCCTTTCCTACATAAAAGTATGAATTTATTTTTAAAAAATCTTACTGAGCCCAAACTCACTTTTATATGCCAACTTCTGACTGTTTGGTCATCCTACCTTGGACCATTCGCCGGTCTTCCACTCATAACATTTGGAGTGATCCTCACACGTCTCCACCTCTGCTGGACGAGACACGGGATCACAGAGACCCTGAGGATTGGTGCAGGTCACTGTCCTCTTCCTGCTGCCGCGACCACATTCAGAGGAACACTGGGACAGACAAAGACAACGAGATGTCAGAGGATAACACCAGGAAAATAAGTGAGCAATTGGGTGCAAAGAAAGATGGAGATAAATAAAGACATAAGCAAGAGCGCTGGTCATTAAAACTGGCTTCCTGTGGAGTCTCACTTCGCCGCTGACTAAATCCACTTAATGAAGTGCTTACAACATCAACATCAAGATCTGAAACGAGACCCAGACGCTCAAAAACAACCACAGTGCCCTCCATAGGCCAGGACAAACGCCACAGACACAAGCACACATATCTTTTCTTAGAGACCCTCACATGTCCAACAGTACAGGATGCGTCTCAAAAGCAACTGTCTTTATAGAATATACTTTTCATGACAAGTCATCATATTATATTAATCAAGGCTTCTTCCACCAGAAAATGCTGTAATTTTAGTACATATTTTGACATTTTTCACCCTATGCTGCTGTACGTTTAAAACTATAACAGATGGGCGTTAGTATGTAAATGTCATATCTTAAGAGGCCATTTACACAGAATGTGGTTTTGCATTCTACTGTATTTTGCTGCTTTCCATTGATTTCTACTTAAACCTGATGCTAAATGGATGTCTTTGACCACTGTGCTCATGTTAAAAGAAGTTCAGCTCTTAAACAATCCCTTTTAAGACCTTGCTTTTTTTCCTTTCCACTGTCCTGCATCTTGCGTTTTCTGTGTGAACGTCCTTTAACTGTGATGAATTCTGAATTTCGACAGCATTTATGGCACAAATTTGCATTTTTATGCAACTGGCAGATGCTCTTATCCAAAGTGACTTACAATGCATTCAAGATACACACGTTTTGCTTTCCCTGGGAAAAGTCATGACCTTGGCAGTGTTAACGCCATGCACTCCTGTTTGAATTACATGAATTTTGAAATTGGCTTTCAAAACATTTCACATAGTTTAAAATAGTTTTTTAAACTGAGTCTCTTTTTTATTCCACTGCTCTGCATTTCATGTTTTCTGTGTGAACGGCTCTTAAATGTGACAAATTGTGAACAAACCATTTTTGCATTTTTCCATAAATATAATGGAGCTTTATTTTGCGAATGTTAGGGGCCATTCACACAGAACATGCTCCTGCATTTCTGTATCTGTGTAATTTTTTAATCATTATTCTGTAAAGATGCACTAGACAGTAGGGCAGCAAAACGATTAATCGCGATTAATCGCATTCAAACTAAAAGTTTTTGTTTACATACTATTTGTGTGCGTACTGTGTATATTTATTATGTATATATAAATACACACACACATACATGTATATATTAAGGAAAAATATGTTAGATTTATATATAAAATATTTATATTTATATATAATATAAATTATATACAAGTATAAATATATATACATACAAATATTTTTTTAAATATATACATACATGCGTGTATTTATATATACATAATAAATATACACAGTACACACACATATAGTATGTAAACAAACTTTTATTTTGAATGCGATTAATCGCGATTAATCATTTTGCAGCCCTACTAGATGGATGTATTTGACCACTGCAACACGTCGCACTGTATTTTCAGCATCTAATGGCACCAGTGCTGCATTTTTATTTGTATTTATTTTATTTATAATGCTGATTATCACAAAAATTATTTCAACTCGTCTATCCTTTTCTTTAAATTAAACAAAAATGTTGTGACAGCATTTGTTGCATAATATTGATTACCAGAAAAGAATTTAAACTTGTCCTTCCTTTTCTTAAAAAAAAGGCAAAAATCATGGTTACAGTGAGGCACTTACAGTGATAGTGAATCAGGCCAGTTTTTGGAGGATTTAAAATAATTTAAAAGCAGAAATGTGAAGTTTATCATTTATAAAATATGCATTAATTGCTCTGTTAAAACTAGTATTATTACTAGTATTATTTGATCTTTAAAGCTGTTTAAATCCTAATTTTTAATAGGGTTTTAGGGTTAATGGCTTATGTTAACATGTTGACAAAGTAATATAACTTATATACGTATAAAGTTGCATATATAACGTTACACAGAAAAGGTTAGTAAGAGATTTTTCCACACTGAAATCATGTTAACACATGTTGTTTAAGTCTCATGGCTGTACTATTGAGTAAGTTACAGTGAGGAAATTGCAATTTGGAGGGTTCAAACAAAAATGCAAAGCTTATAATTTAATTAAAGCACCTACATTCATTAATCTGTTTGTTTTTTAAAAGATAGTCAGGTTAAAGTTGGTCAAAAAAGTTTTTAGGTCAATCAGATGAATTCTGGAGAAGTATTTTGAGTGCATTGAGTGTCTTCTATTCAAGTATCCTGTGCTACATTATGCTGTTTTTAAGCAAGAATGCTTAAAATATGTTTAAACATTACACCAAACTAATGTACAATGTACATACAAGAGCAAGAGCAAAATCTGCTTTCCATGATGTGGCATCTTTAAATAATTCCTGCTGACTTGAGCTCAAACCTTGGACCATTCGGAGGCCTCCCAGACGGTGAGGCAGTGGTGTCCCTCGCAGTGCTGTATGCTGGCTGGTTTGGAGCTCAGACAGTACAGGTCTCTGGTGGGGATGTACGTGCCATTTTGCAGCTGGTACACGCAGCCAGCTTCCCTCTGCTGCAAGCCTTTCCCGCAGGTTACTGAACACTGCGCCCAATCGCCTGTAACCCACCTGAGAGAAGCAGAAAACACAGAGAAGATGTTAATACAACTGTTTTGTCATTATTAAAGGGTTAGTTCACCCAAAAATGATAATTAGCCCATGTTTTACTCACCCTCAAAGCATCCTAGGTGTATATGACTTTCTTCTTTCAGACGAATCCAATCGGTGTTATATTAAGTATTATCCTTGCCAGTGTTCGTGCGTTTGCGCGGTGACTTACAATGACTTACCCTTGTAATTTAGCTGTTATGCATCTTTGTATGCACTACTTGCTTTATGCAAGCACTATATAGGATAAAACTATATCGACACGAATTGATAGGTGAAACAACAAATAGTCACCCACAAATAGTCTATAAACAAAGCATCAGGCTGTCTTTGAGTTCACATGAACAACGGTTAAAGTTACTCGTCTCTAGGCTACAGAAGAATACCATAATTCCTCCGTTCAGTTAGACCCAAGACATCGAGAGTCACACAGACCTATAACAACCCAGCCACAACACATAATTGCGAATAACATGCCTTACCGAATCTTTGAGTTAACATGTACTAAACATGAGTGGAATTTGCACCGCAGCGCCCCCACACCTTGATGCTCATGACAAGAATAGCATGTATAATTATCTTTATTGAAGTTAATTATGTTTAAATCACCGTCATGCATGAATTAATTATATTTTTGCAATTTTACGCATAATAATCCACGATGATCACATTACACAAAACTGAAATTGCACGTCAAAATAACACATTGTCAATATTTTTTGAGACCCCCCAAAATTTCACAAATCACGTTTTCAGGGGAGCCCATGTCTTATTAAGGGGAGCCGAGCTCCCCCTAGCTCCCCCGTAGTTCGCACCCTGATCCTTGCTCTTCCAAGCATTAGAATGGGAGTAGGCAGGTGTTTTTTTCAACAGTCTAAAAGTAGTCAAATAAAGTGCGTCCATCCATAATAAAACTTGCCTCACACGGCTCTGGGGGGTGAATAAAGGCCTCCTGTAGTGAATCGATGCGTTTTTGACAGAAAAATATCCATATTTAAAACGTTATAAACACTTTTCTCTCACTTCTGCTGACTGTAATACGTGCAAGCCATTCCGCCGGTGATTCGTGACGAACGCAGAAGCGTAGCGGAGAGACAGCAAAACAAAATGCCGGTCATGAATTGGAAGAATGTAGGAGGATTTCGATATAAGCCAAGATGAGACTGGTTTTCCTTTGCTAAAGTAAGGAAAGTATGCTTCCTTTGCTCCTGTAAACAAACTCGCAAGACTAGCATATCTCACTGGCGCGTACGCTATGCCGACATCCTACGTCATCCGCCGGAACGTCTTGCACGTACGACAGTCAGCAGAAGTGAGAGAAAAGTGTTTATAACGTTTTAAATATGGATATTTTTCTTACAAAAAAGCATGGATTCGCTACAGGAGGCCTTTATTCACCCCCCGGAGCCGGGTGAGGCACGTTTTAATATGGATAGATGTGTTTTATTTGACTACTTTTGGACTGTCGAACAAAAACACCTGCCTACTCCCATTCTAATGCTTGGAAGAGCAAAGAAAAATTTGAATATATCTCTGATTGGATTCGTCTGAAAGAAGAAAGTCATATACACCTAGGATTCCTTGAGGGTGAGTTAAACTTGGGCTAATTTTCATATTTGGGTGAACTAACCCTTTAAAGTCCTTGTCAATATTCAATTCATTAAACTGTAGTGAAAGAGATCTGAAGTCTGAAAATTAACACGTGTACACTGAAACAAGTCCTTAAAGTCAAGCATTTGCAACCGTCTGTAATGTGATGAAAAACGCAGCCAACATCATATGTTACAAGTCAGGAAACATCATAAAATCTGGATGTTTTAATCGTCAGTTTACAGTCTGACTGAAAATAGCAGATGATTATGTTTATTGCCACATAAGCGGTCATGAAATGCACTTGTGATTTACTTGCAGAAAATCTCAACAGATGAAACAGAGAATAAAAATAGAGTCGTCTTTATTAACTGCTTAAACGACACAATGAAAGATGACAGAGAAGCATGTGGAAACCTACAGAAAGCTCTTCTGTCCCACACTCACATCCCACTCTTACAAGCACCAAAATCGATTTTGCAGTTATAGACAGAAATAGAGGTGTGCAATTACTTTTCTAAGTGATCGGACTTACATCATACACAATAAAAAGGGGTGAAAAAGTCCCTGAGAAGTACATTGATGGAGGCACTTGAGCCTTATCTACAGATCAGAATATCCACTTGGAATTGGGCTTATTAGACTGAGAACACCCTGTAAGACATCCAGAACACCCTAGCAACAACCTAGTAGTGTTATTTTAGTGTTATTTATACACTAATTTAGTATTTATTGATGTTTTGAATAATCTTTTATTTTGATATTTTCCGTTTTTTTTGTTTTTGTTAGTTGACAAGGCAAAACGCCAAATTCTTTTTATCTTTATTTTTCATTTTTATGTTTTAGTCATTTTAATTTATTACTTTATTTTATTTTTATATAGTACTTTTATTTGATTGTTGACAAGACAAAACTCCAAATATTCACTTACGTTTTTAAAATTTGTAGAGTTTAAATCATCTAATATTAATATTAACTATTTTTAATAATTTCAGTGTTAGTTAAAAATAACAACCCTGCAAACCAGATGCACAGTAATGAGTTCTGCACAAGCAAACAACCCTTCAAATTTTCTTTAAAATATCTAAAAAGCCAGCTGACAATCTTATTTTTGTATTTTTAAATGATTTAAATAGTATATTAAGGCCCATTTACACCTAGCCATAAAGTTTTAAACAACTTGACCTGCTAAGGGACTGCGGATGAAAATTAGACAATGCATTACATAGAAACATTTATGCAAAAAATTGCACATGGTTCCTTTCCAAATAAAAATAAATAAAAACCAGCACAGAGGAACATACCTGAAAAACGAGCTTAGAATGAATATGATGTTATTCTCTATTGGCATGGACCTTAATATAGCTAGCATTATAATTATCGTTATTGGTGTGAACAGCCCTTTACTGTTAGAGCAAGAAAAAAATTTGCAAATTAAGTTATAATTCTGTAAGCATAATATCTATCCCTTGTTGAAGTGAACCAGCCTTTTCTGCTCTGAATTAACAACTTCATGTCAATATCTTATCTCTTCTAAAGCATGTAATGTGAGACATACCGCATCTTGAAAAGCTACAGATGAAGAAACAGTTTTGGGAATCAGAGCAATCTGATTTTATCACGCAGCATAAATCAAATTATACATATTGCACCTAAATTGTGAAACCACTACAAGCTAGCATGATAAAAACAACGTGAATTATTGGTAAAAAAAAAATAAGCATACACAATAAATGTGAAGACTTTAATAAACCGAGCAGAGAGAGAGAGAGAGAGAGAGAGAGAGAGAGAAACATCTATTCTTGGATTTGGTTAAATGAGAGTAAATAATCATAATTCTCATGTTCCCGGGACAAACATATATCGTCTGAAATGCTGTAGTTAATTGTGAAGGAGCATCTCTGTGATGCATGATCCTTGAGGAAGAACATGCATCCATATTTCACAGGTGAGGCTTTCACCTGTACAGAGATGACCGCAACAGACCAGGTTACCTATTTTGTTTAGAAGTTTTTGTCCTGGATTTGTTGGGAACAATATCCACCATGAATCTGTTAAATCTAGAAAGAGAGGAGTCCCAGACTCTGATCCCAAATCCATCTTGTTTGACTCCCTATTGAGTTTTGTGTCAGCTGACATAAAAACACACAGCACACACAGATACAGGTAAAGCGGTCCGTTCTGAGAAGCTCTGGCGCTTCTGGTACCTGTATTGGCAGGGGTGGATGTTGCAGCGGCGGATCTGAGGCGCGGGTCTGTTCTCCACCTGACAGTAGCTGTCATTGACTTGAGTCATGGTCTTGTTAACGATTCTCATGCACGAGACCACAGTCCTTCTCTCCCCTAAAACACAGCAAAACATTTTTATTGGCATACTATACTTTCATAAAATGTCACTCAAGGTTACAGTACGTGTCTTGCATATACTTACATAAATCAATTTGAATGCTTCTTTTTATGTGTGTTTTGTAAACAATACAAAACATACAGACAGTATATGAGAGGAAATGTGTCATGCCGTAATCACAGTAAAATATCACCTTTTTAATAAGAACTCTCAGTGTAAACTATCTCATGCATCTACAGAAGATATCTGTCACAACTTAACACCAATGATTAATAAATAATAAGAAATAATATTTAATAATATGAATTATGTTTTTTTTTAAACTAGCATTAATAATTTTTTAAAAGTTTAAACATTTAATAATGTTTAACATTTAAAAATACTAATAAAATAAATAATACTTAATTACGCTCACTGTAAACTAGCTTTAAAAATAATTTCATAATAAATACTTTAAAATATTTAATAAATAATGTTTAACAAATAATAGCAGTTAAAATTATAATAAAATAATATGTAATAATAACAATTTATTATTAATATATATAATAATCATCATCATCATCATCTGTAAACTGCAAATTTTATCCAAAGTGACTTATATTGAAATTGAGCTCATACATTCCCTAAAAACTGAACCCATACTACTGTTTGAGCTACAGAAATATTATCTATTTATTATTTACTATGTTGGAGAAAGTAACTTTTAAAAGTAATGCTTTACAATATTGCGTTACACCATAAAAAAGTAACTAATTGCGTTACTTGTGTTACTTATTTAAAGAAATAACTAAAATAATTAATATTATATATAATAATAATAATAATAATAATTAAAATTAATGTGTAAATACATGGTTATATAATAATAATAATCATCATCTTTATGGCCGCTTTGAGCCGTCTGAGTTTACTAACAATCCACTGAGGATGTTAAAGTTTGGATTGAGTCGAGGGCTTTGGCAAGCGCTGCAGTGACTCTGTGCTGGGGGTGTTTAACCACAACAGGACAATCTGTGTTTTCTCTGGCACGTGTGAGCGTTTGCACACGATCTGATGCTGTCCGCTCCACTTTCACCTCCCAACCAGCCATGTCCCATTTCAAGTAATTGCAGAACAAAACATTTCTAATTAGGGATAACAATACGCGGTTATTTCTAGTGGTCATCTATAGAGTCGGGGGTCCTTTAGTGGGCATGACCAAATTAGCAGCGGGGAGAAGCAGTGACCCACATAACAGGTGCTGAATTTGCCTGGGACCTTTAATTTCTTCAGTTCTTAATGTTGTTGTAGCTTCAGAAGGTGGCGGCACGCCAAACTGTAGGATTAGCTATGTCATTCATTTTGTGCTGTTCTACGTTTGCCAAGAAAAACCGCAAGCAGTCAGAGACAGAGATTAATTCCTGCGAGCAGCGAGCGGTGAAGGGCAGCCTCAGAGACACAGAGCCAGAAGCTCTGCTCCAAAACATAGTGCGCTGCCTACTTAGTCAGCATTTTAGGCATCATATTTGTGTCCCAGATGCAAAGCTTGTTCCAAAATTATGCTGCCTTTTAGATATCTTTTTTTTTTTTTGCTGTAAAGCAGCATCACATGTCGTGTACAGTATAATTTATGGACAAAGGAATGCAATAAGCTAAATTCAACTAAATAAATCACTGTGGTACATCTTGGGTTCAGTAAGATTTTTTTACCAAATGAATACCTTTGAAATTGATCAAAGGTGACAGTGAAGATAATGTTACAAAAGATTCTATTTCAAAAAATGCTGTTCTTTTGAACTTGCTATTCATCAAAGAATCCTGAAAAAACTGTCACAGAAAGCACAAAAACATGAAGCAGCACAACATGAAGCAGCACAACTGTTTTCAACATTGATAATAATCAGAAATTATTCTTGAGCAGCAAATCAGCATATAAGACTGATTTCTGAAGGATCATGTGACACTGAAGACTGGAGGAATGATGCTGAAAATTCAGCTTTGATCACAGGAATTAATTACATTTTAAAATATACTGAAATAGAAAACTGTTGTAATAATATTTCACAATATTTCTATTTTTACTGTATTTTTTATTAAAAGAAATAATAAATGCAGCCTTGGTGAGCATAAGAGACTTGTGAAGAAAAAAAAATCATACCAACCCAAACTTTTGAATGGTGATGTATATTTCATTAAATCCTGAAAAATATTGATAAAATGGTTAAATGTAATAAAAAGGAACTAATTTTACATAATATATGTGTGCTATGCATTTATTGCACCATTGACTTAGCAACACGCAAACATAAAACTAGAGTGTATGTTCTGAGGAGTGTTTTGACAAAACATTTCTGTATGTAAATTTAAGCAACTTACTTATCAGCTGTTATTTTTTCGGAAGTTGCATTTAAAATCCATTTTCCCTCCAAAAATCAGAAGGGGCTCATTAGTTTGAATGAGTGTGACACATCTGATCTCACTACTATATACAGCCCCTTAACCATGGTTTCCAGGGCACAACACTCTTACCCCAGAACAGTAGAGTATCCTTATTGTCTCCTATCTGAAAGAAATGCTCACTGAACACTCTCAGATTAAATCTTTCACACGCATTGCTGAATTTAGAGTTTAGATTTTCCGCCTAAATGTGGGTAGAAATACAGTTGAAATAGTGTTTTCTCGTTTTAAAAAATCACTGGCTATTCATTTAGTTATTGCCTAGAAATATACGTATACACTGTTTGGTCACCAATTACTGTAGCAAGTGCTGGGGAGCGACTCACAAAATCCCTGTGCAAATGAGCAATCTCTCGGGGATCCTTCAAGACTTTGCTAATCAGGACCTCGACAGCAAAGATAGTTATAAGTTATGAAAAGAGTTTAACCTCTTACTAGGCATTGAACTTGTTATGTTTATGTAAATCTACTTCCACATTCATTTATTCAGATCTGCAGTGTGACAGTCCTTTACATAAACTACTGTTCAAATACTGGCGGTCTGGTATAAGATTGTTTAATGTTTTTGAACAGGTTTTAGTTTCTAAAGCTCACCAAGGCTGCATTTATTTGATCAAAAATACAGTAAAACAGTAATATTGAGAAATATTATTAAAGTTAAAATAGTTTTAATTTATTCACGTGATGCAAAGCTGAATTTTCAGCATCATTACTCCAGTCTTCAGTGTCACATGATCCTTCAGAAATCATTCTAATATGCTGATTTGCTGCTCAAGAAACATTTATTATTATTAACAATTCTGAAAACAGTTGTACTGCTTCATACTTTTATGGAAACCATTATAAAAAAAATTCAGGATTTTTTGATGAATAGAAAGTTTGAAAGAACAGCATTTATTTGGAATAAAAAACATTGTGTAACCTTTTGATCAGTTTAATGCATCCTTGCTTAAATGAAAGTTTTAATTTCTTTAAAAAAATAAATCTTACTGACCCAATGGAAAGAGATATTTGAATGCAGGAGTCTCAATGTGTTTTAAATAGTTTTAAATAACATTTTATGGATTATATTACAATTATTGTGCATGCATATTAATTCATATTTGTACATTTTTATATTTTAAAATATTTGTATATTAAACAATTCATTTCTTACATCACATAATTGTTTAATTGTTCTAGTAAAGGCAAAATAGGTGAATAAAAATAACAACAATCTGACAAAATTGTGACCTATTATAATAATAAAAAAACTAACTTTAATTTTAAATCTTGATGCTCAAATGGTTAGGTTAAGATTGTGTCCATGCCCATTTGTAAACTACCTAAATGCACACAACACAACTGAACAAATGAATGCACTTATTAATCCCTTCTCAAATAATATTCTCTCAGTCTATGTTTCTATAGGCGAGCGCTCGAGGTGAGTATTAGAGACAGATCCTGCTTCATCAACCCCAGCTGTATTAACGTATGACACACATGTGCTGGCGTCATTAAACACATCATTATATTCTTCAGTTCATAACTGGCTCGAAGGAACGACGCTGACCACAAAACAACTGCTATTTCATAGATGTGTCTAGAAGTTTCCAAAAACAGACACTGCAAATCTCTCGTCAGCTTTTTCAGGCCAGAACATGATTTGCAGCTCATGTCGAAAAATAAAGCTGTTCTATTCGACACAGAGAACGAAATGCCCTTTTAAAAACCCAATGCATCACATTATTTAAGCAAAAGCACTTAACAATTGCTTTAAAAAACAGATTTAACTCGTGTTATTGTGCGCAAATACACACGCTGACGCAACACTTCTAGCAGACAATGACACACCATCAGGAAGCAATAACCACATAAAAGAAACAAGCAGATCAGCGTTAAAACGGGAGCTATTTGAGGAAAGAATGCATGCCGGTCTGTTGCAGATAAATGTTCATCTGCTATCAGATTCGTGAATATAACCAGCAAAACTGTCATGCTCAGACGGGCTTAGAAAATGGGACAGGCCTCAATGTCGCTTTTTGAGTTATTTTATGCGTATCTCGGTCTCAAGTGAATAACGCCTCCACTACATGTGACGACTTTATCTGACAGCATTTAATTTTGAAAGTTTCATTCCTTTGCGAGTCAGTTAATGCTGATATCATTTGTCGGAGATTCTCTTTTCGTAGCAGTAATTATTATTTTTGGAGCTTTAACCTGCTAGATATAATCACACAGCTGTGCTGACCATAACAGTCACACACCGTCACAGAAACACAGCTGGACAGCTGACGCACGTTAACAGCTTCAACTGTTAAGACTGAAAGGGAATTTAATGAAACCTTTAGGAGAACTGGAAACTTTCCTGATCAGCTTCTGATATACTCTTAAAAATAAAGTTTCCGAAAGGGAGTTTTTGCAGCGATGCAATGGAAGAACGGTTTTTGGTTCCACAAAGAACCTTTCAGCGATCAGTTCTAAAAAAGAACCATTTTTTCTTAGTGTGAAGAACATTTTAATAATCTAAATCACCTTTTTTCCACTACAGAGTGCATTAGTGCCCATCCACTTTTGCAGCAGCACTGATTCCAGAAGTATTTTTCCCATTCATTTTGCCCATAAAGATTTTTTTTAAATCGCTATAAGCCATTAACCAAACCAACCAGCTACAAGGAGAATCACATACCAAATGTTGATTAAAAAATCGGAGAAAATGTAGAAGACTGTGTTCCTAAGAACTTTGGTGTGGGAAAGAACTACAGTCTCATGAAGCATTGCAAATTACATAAATTAAAAAACTTTTCATTTAAAGTTGTATCTATAGAAACAATATATTTTAATTTTATTGTTAAATATGCATAAATACATAAGCATATTCAAGTATTTTTGTCATTAGTATGCTTCATGGGAGTGGGTGGAGCTAAAGAGCTCATTTGGTGCTTCTGTTGTTTGATTGGTGGAATTTTCTGTACAGCATCATGGTTAATGTAGTTTATTTATTTTTTTACTAACAATTCCGCTATTGAAAAAGATAATTTAAAAAAATTAGCTGAATTAACACAAAGCGATAGCTGCAACAAAGGGATATACAAATGATTATCAACCTCGGAGCTTGCAACAGTTCTGTTGTCAAGTTATTGTTAAAGATCACTTTCCCTATGGAGAAAATGAATGGAGTTTTTATTTCCGTTTTGCACTCTATCCACCTTATTCTTCCTGTAAAAATGGTCGTGGCCATTTGTTAATTTTATGGGTGTGGCTTCCGGTCTCATTCGCTTCCAGCTATTTTTAGCTGTACAAAACTACTCGTTTTGCAGAATGGAAAGATTCTTCAGGGAACCATTGATGCCTTATGTTTTAAGAATGTACATGTGAGTGTAATGGCAGTAATGGCATTAAGAATGGCATTGTATTAAGAAAATAAACCCCAGAGGCATTGTGGGTGATGACCGGCACTGACCTCCTCCGCAGTGCACACTGCAGTCCTCCCAGCTGCTGTGAGTCCACAGGTACATGTGCTCTGGTTCCTTCACCGGACCACTGACGTTCTCCTGTGACTGGTTCAGGGCAACCGTGTACTCATAATGGATCCCATACGTCTGATCGTGGAACAGCAGAACCTGAGAGAAAAATTGGATAAACGTGATATGAAGAGCATTCAGGAACACTAGCCTCTGTTTATTAGCTTACGTGTTCTGTATTTTGCCCAAGATAATTCTTTAATTCAGCATGGAGGCGTTAAATTGATCCAGAGTGGCAGTGAAGACATTTATAATGTTACAAAATGTTGTTCTTTTCGACTTTCTATTAATAAAAAAATCCTGTATCAAAAAATGTATCACAGTTTTCACAAAAATATGAATCAGCACAAGTGTTTTCTACATTGACAATAATCAGAAATGTTTCTTGAGCAGCAAATCAGCATCTTAGAATGATTTCTGAAGCATCATGTGACACTGAAGACTGGAGTAATGATGCAGAAATTCAGCTTTGCATCATAGGAATAAATTACATTTTAATATAATCATAATCATAAAGAAACCAGTTATTATTTTACCAGTTAATTACAAGCATTAGGTGTCTGCATATATTTGGCCATACAGTGCATCTCCAGAGGCCTGTGAACAGGCACAAGGTCTGATTTCAAGAGGCTACCAAAACACCATGAGGAAAAAAGGATCACTTCCATTCATTCCCATAATCATTTCCAGGGACAGGACGTGACTCCAGCCTCCAGCACACCCTTTATCACAAGATCCATCTCGTGAGAACCATTCCTCACAGACGGTGGAGGTTAACAGCCCCTCAGACCCCTCAAAGAGCCTCAAGAGCCGTCTCACTGTCAGCCAGTGGCTAATGACATGAATGAAACTATACACAAGAGAACACAACCACACATTCAAAATACTCAACAAGCCCACCAACAGCAGATGAACAAAATATACAGTGAGTGAATCTCATGAAAACATGTCCGACTTACTTTTCACTCTAAAATCACTAGTAAAATTATCAAAAATAAAGACTATTTTAGGGCCATTAACTTTTTTGCATTGAGACATTATTTAATTATAATTAAACACATTTTCTACCAAGTTCTAATAGCAATGTGTGCTGACATTTTGAGCTTTTTTAATGATGGTTCCTATTAGAATTTCTTCAAATAAAACTGTACTAGTATTATCTTTTGTCATTTAAATCAGCATATAACAAATTCACTGTTAAAAATACTCCCATGTTGTACAGAGCATTATTTAAATAATAAATAATTTAAAATTGTATTTCACATTTAAGCAATAAGACTGAGATTTTATACATTACTTGCATTGTTATGAAAATGTTAAAAAAACACTCAATGGCCCTAAGAATGGTCAAAAAGGGCTTTTTTCTTTATGCAAAAAAACGAATAAAAATAAAAAAATAAATAAAACTTTAAACTGAGCCCATAATCCATATTAACGCTTCCTCCAATGAAAAAGTTAATCTCCTGTTTTCTCTCACATCAAAATCCACCCACATGTTGTTTTAGAACCATTTTCGTAATAGGTGCTTGATCTGTGCATATTTCTCTCCTGATTCAGATGAGACAACTTTTTTCACTGGAGAAGGCAATATTATAAATAAAAGACTCGCATTTTAGTCAGAAGCAACGGGTTAAAGTTATTACAAACAAGCAGCTTTTCGCTTCACAAAGATGTTAATTGATGGACTGGAGTGGTTTGGATTGTGATGTTTTTATCAGCTGTTTGGACTCTCATTCTGACGGCACCCATTCACTGCAGAGGATCCATTGCTAAGCAAGTGATGTAATGCTACATTTCTCCAAGTCTGTTCTGATAAACAAACAAACAAACCCTTCTACATCTTGGATGTCCTGAGGGTGAGTACATTTTCAGCAGATTTTCATTTTTAGGTGAACTATTCCTTTAATTACGTATGCACCACATGCCACTGAAACATCACAAGTGAATATTCACTCAGGGCAAGATTGGCACATGCCCAAATGCCCATATGGTTTATCTGGCTATTTTTCTCACCTAATTTGGAGTATTTTGCATCTATTTAGTTATTCAAGGTCAGAAAAACACTCAATTTCTGGCCTAAAGACGACCAGAAACACATTAGAAATTTATCTTAAATATTCTAAATGGGTCTGAGAACACTCTGACTGTTTGAAGTGGAGCATCTGTGTGCCAGAGGACATCTGAGAGGAAAGCTTCATCTAAAGCCTGCTTCACTGCTTAATTACATTAATTAGAGATCTCTCTCAAGACACCCACTGGCTCTCTGGACTAAACAAACCTTTTTGCTTTAAACTCTCGGTGACTGCGGGGGAGTAGAGATTACAGGTCTATTCTCTTCATCATAAAGAGCTTTGAGGAGATATTAACTGAAACAATGCGCCTGGATTAGAGGATTAGAGAACTGGCTTTCATTCCATAGTGAGCAGTAAATTGCGTTTCTGCATTATTTTCTAAATTGTTAATCTTATCATGCATTAGATGGATGTCTTTGGTTATTGCTTAACTTAATTAACTGCTCTTTTTTTTTTACTACACACCCCTATAGTGAAAAATAAATATACTAAAATTGATTTCAAATACATTTATTTCATGCTAAGTTTATTACAAATATTACATACACATTAATACCCTGCGATTGTACTTTTTTTGGTATACTAAACTGGTATACTTAAAGTCTGCTAAATTGGAACAACTAATTTTGTACTTAATGCACTTTAATTGTGAAGAAGTAGTGCTGAAGTGCAACTAAAGATACACTGAAGTATATTTGATTGTGCTAAAGTGGAACTACTGCAAGTATACGTCAGGTACACTTTAAATATCTTGCATTTAAAAACCGATATTATTTAAAGATCATGCAATCCTCATCGGTAGTGACATTAAAACACATTTTAGGCTTAATATAAAAAAATGTGCAAGCAGTACTCCAAATAAAGTTTAATTAAAATTTTCATATCAGTAAGTCTCGAGAGATATGTCAGTAAATATGTTAACAAATTTGAACTATACTTAGTATAAAATAAATGTGACATAAATTTATATTTTTTTACTTGGGACATTTCTCCATTCCAGTTTTTTTGTTAACTAAAACTGAAACATTTTCTTTAATTAAAATAAAGCTGAAAAATAAAATAAAATATAAAAATTAGACAGAAAAAAAAGAAAGAAAAAAAAATGAAAATTAGAAATGAAAAGTTAAGTACTAAAATTACTAAAAGTTAAATAAATACAAATAAATTAAAGCAAAATTAAAAAAACTACACAGGAAAAAAAAATGTACTAAAAAAATAAATTTCACTCAGAAATTGCTAGTACATTTCACAAACAATTACAAAGAAATGGCAAGGAACACATTGGATTAAATGTGACATTTTCCAGAAAAAAAACAAAAAAGTATTTTCTTGTAAAATGCTATCCAATAATCTTTGTAAAATCACTTTTACACTGTTTTACAATTTTACAATTACTAAAAACGAACTAAAATTAAAATGAAAGCTGAAAATATAAAAAAGCTAATTCAAAATATATTAAAAAATACTATAATAGTACAAATAATAGTAAAATTTAAGGCTCAAAACATCAACAGACGACTGAAGTAAAGCTGCACAGTCAAATGGTCCATCATATCGACATCTTCAGGTTAGAAGCACAAAGCAGGAAATGTATACTAAACTGTTTGCACAACTATCTTGACTTGTCTATGTATGGAAGGGGCAACCTGTGACTCAGAGCAAAGAAATAATGAGGACCCTGGAGAAAGAGCAGAAGAGCAAGAGGAAGAAGTGGAGTGGATGGAGGAGGAGGAGAGGACATGGGAGGAAAATGTAGGAAGTAGGAAGAGATATAAAAGGGGATGTAGGAGGAGAGAGCAAGAGAGGTGGCCATCGAAACAAGTTAAAGTTAAGAGAGTACAGCATGGCACCAACAGCATGGGGTTTATTCCCAAGAATGCATGAACTGATAAAATGCATACCCTGAATGCAATGCAAGTTGAGAAAAAAAGCATCTGCTAAATGCACAAATGTGAATGTAAATGTGTACAAAATGGTTATTGTTATGGTTATATCTTCATCCTCTGTATTTTTGTCTTGTTTTCCAGTACAAATATCGAACCATTCTTAAATCAAGATACATTTACATGAGCAGCAAAAAGACTTAAGATATTAAATCTATTTTTCTGAAAAAATAAAAAAATTAAATAAAGTAAAATAATAAAATAAATCAAATAAAAATACATTAAAAGGGAAAACAAGATCTTTCTGATCCCAGAACTGTAAAACTAAAACTTTAATAAAAAAAGAACATTAGAAATGTTGCCTGAAATTAAATAACTACTAAAATTACTAAAAGTGAAATAAATACAAATTAATTAAAGTGAAACAGACAAAAAATTACACTGAAAAAAAAAAGTAAGATTTACTTTAAAGCAAATTTCACTCAGAAATTGTTAGTAAATTTCACAAATAATTACAAAGAAATGGCAAGGAACACACTAAATTAGACATGAAAGGATTCATGTAATTAAAAATTAAACATCCACTCACTTCATTTTAATACATTTTTCAGAAAACAAGACTTAATATCTTGTCATTAATGTGTCATTTTGCTTCTCAAGTAAAGTATCAAGTGTCTTGATTTAAGAAAGTTTAGATATTTGTAAAACAACAAAAATACTGAGATAGAAAATCATTTTTTGCAATGTAAATAAAGTGTTAGCTCATAAGAAAGCAAAAGTAATTATGCAGTGAACAGTTTTAGTAAATTAAAAGCCAAACAATTGTATTGTATTGATTGTTTTGAAAGCATGGATCTTGGCTTGGAGAAATCAGTAGAAACTGTAGGCGTACTTCAACTTTTGTTGACGTGTGTTTCGAGACGTGCTGCATCGAGCTATTTTTGCGTTGTGAACGGGCCCTAACGCCACATGACATCATGATGAAATCATTGCAGTCGATGTCCGTGTCGACACACGGGTGGAAAAGCAGCACTAGACATGCATGAAGATGAAGACATCAGGTTCAGCAGCGGCTCCGTCCCAAAACATCTGCATTACTGCTTTCAAAACATTTTGCATGATCTGTTTTCCATTCAGTTTATGTGTTTGCTTTGGATTAGCAGACTGCCATGTTTTCCGAATATAAAATAGCATGTTTTGTTAATCCTGAAGTTGTTCATGATGAAGACAAAATATGCCATAATTATAGTCTAAATCAACTAGTAACCAGGAGAACATGACAGTTACAGTCAGCATGAAATCAAAATCGCCATTTACCTTCTTAAAGTCACAATTTGCCCAAAAATGAAATTATTTACTCACTCTCATGTTGTTCCAAACCCATATGCTGTTTTTTTTTTCCAAAGAAGCATCATGTAGCTTTCCACACAGAGCTTATAATGACCCAAAAAATTCTCGAATGAGAAGATCGGGGGCGCATTCCCTTCAAAAACAAACGTAATCCACTGCGTCTTCAGCGGCTCAGATGTCGGGAGTAAATGACGACTGCTATGTTCATTATTACATCCAACAACAGAACACCTCAATCGCTTAGGAAGGAGTCATTCTTGTCTACATCTGCTCCGGCGTCGAAACAATGGCAGACTGATGACAGCTCACTCAGCTACTGCTACTACAACGCTACTGTCAATCAACAATCGTGGGAGGGGCCTGGGTCTGTGTGACGTCACCATAGACTGCATAAAAGCATGGACGTAGTGTCCGTGACGTCACCCATAGGTTTCTGAAGAGCATTTTTGAAGATCAAAGTTGGAGTCGGCCGTCGCCATCTTGGCGTCACACCCGGATAATCGAAAATGGGCAAAGAGGCGGGAGCTGGTTGCTGAAACCATGCCCACCTAGCTTGACGGTGGTGACAGCAGCGGCAATCCACCTGACAAGAAGCTGAGAACGGCTTGATTTGAGAAAGGTCTTATGATTTTAGTAGATTAAAAAAAAAAACACTGGGTGGATTTTATCATTATAGGGTGGTTGTGTACACACACTGCCAAAACACATTTATGTTCAAACAACATGTAAAAGTGCATTTCGCATCCGATGACCCCTTTAAGATGTTTTCTTGTAAACATTATAGATAGTTTGTGTTTCTGGCATAGAACCGATCTTTATTTATCTTATTTTAATGCTGTATATTGAGCAGCGGACGATGTTAAATCCATATACGAGACACATATCTGAGGAAAAATGCACTGTTGGTCGGCGCCACCTAGCGTGCAGGCGTGAATTAGCAGAAGGTGATCAATCGTTTCGCACTCGGTGTGAAATCAACGTTCGTCTGCGATTCGCCTCGCTTTTTCGCATTTCACTCAGTGTGAAACGGATTTACACAGTCACTACTGATAAGCTACTACTAAATACTGTATATTGTAGAAACTTTAATTTTCTGTGAAGCTGCTTTGCAACGATTTGTATCACAAAAAGTGCTATACAAATAAACATGAACAGAATTTTCATTGAGTGTTCATGATTCAATCATTTCCCTGATAAAACCATGTCCTGTCCTACAGTATTTCCCATTGATTATCTGATTACGGAAATAAAATGTGCAGCAGATGGCTTTTTACACTGAATTAAGTGTAAAAGCACAGCTCAATAAGAAATGTGTGAAAGACAGTAAAGATCTAAGAAAGAAAAAGGTGCATGTTAGTACATAAAGAATTTACCATGAGGTGGAGTGGAGTCTTAGTGGGTCCCTTGGCAGACATTTTTTCCCACAGTCCTCTCCTCACGTAGCGGACCGTGGTGCCAGCAAGCTCAAACTCCCCTGGCAGCTCAATTTTCCAGTCATTGTTTATGGATCGCTTGCTGGAGTCCTTCAGAGCTGCACCAGTCAAACAAGAACACATTTATCTAATTCATATTATACAAGCATCATTACAGCAAAAACTTTATGATTCAGTTATCAAATATAACAAAATTATTTGAGATTATTCCAATGCAAACTTCCTTGATTTTGATCTAGCAGACCTGATTCAGTAGCTAACTTCAAAAAGGAGATTTTCGTAAAATGCATGCATATTGTGTATAGTGCCATATTCATGCATACTTTATGAAGCTTATATTGCAAATTCAATTGAAAAACATTCATTAGTATCATTGAGACCCTATTATATTTCTTATTTATTTCTTGAATTAGTTTTTATTTTTATATTTTCTGCTTCCATTTTAATTTTTAGTAATGGTGTTGTGTGTTTTTGTCATTTTTATTAATCTGTTTTTTATAGTGTTAATCAGTTCATTTAATTATTTTTATGTCAGTTTCTTTTATTTTAGTACATCAAGATAAACTAAAGGAAAATTAGAAATGTTTCCTTGCCATCTAGCTGAAATAAATAAGTTAATGATATACACATACACTATATATTTATACTATATATATTTATACTATAATAACCCTGGTACAGAGTCACACACATTACATTTTATTTTAATATAGGATGCACAATAAAATATTCAGCTGAACTTAAGCTTCTTAACTTTAAATTTGGTTTAAATTAATTTAATATTCATTTTTTGTTTAAAATATATTTTCAGTTTTTCATAAAAATAGCAAACGGATCGAAACCTCCTTTATACTGAGGGGAAAAAATTGCAAGTAAATTTCGCAAATAATCAAGTAATGCATTTAATTTTCTTGTAAAACATACTTTTCTTTGTTTTATTTATTTATTTATATATTTATTTATTTGTTTGTTGTAAAAAGATTTTTAGCATCAATTTGATTGTACACCTTATGACTGCTAATGGTGGGAATTTTTTTTTATTAATATATCTCTGCCTTCACACAGTCCAGAATTCAGTGCAATCTTTTCCTTTTAAAATGAAACTTCAACACATTCTTACCATTAAGTATTTGTACTTCTTGTGTTGAATGAGTTATTGCATATCGTTCATCCATCATTAGCTCACAGTCATCCTATTTTTATACACACATATATACGACTCCATGATGGTTTCTGAGCAGTGGAGGCTGAAGATGTGATTGCCCTCAGTCTGCTGCAATGAAAACATGAAGCGGTTTGTTTTGGAGAGCATCTGCGCAGAGCTCAATGGGAGGGGTGCACTTTCATGTCAATTAAAGCGTTTTGGCTGGAATTAAAAAATATTCTTCTGTTCTCTTACAAAAGATGGCAAAGCAGGCCCAAGCTAAACATATGTTTACATCGCCCTGCATATGAAGCACAGATTGCATCCTGCCAGTTCAGTGTTAAATGAAAGGCATTATAGAATAAAATTCATTCATTAGAAAGCCTGTAAACTTCACAATCTTATATAGCTCATTCTATAATATCTGACACTTTAATAACTTCAACCCAGGCAGTCATGTGATACTGACCTTTGGTAGAAGAATTGGTTTAAGAATATGTAGAGCGAAGTGTTATTATGATCTGTCAGCATTATGTCTGTGAAGTTGGACAGCGAGACACATTAATTCTGAAAGTTGAAGGCGCCTTTTCAAAAACCTCTGACTCATTAAAATAAATTAAATTACAATGAATATGCTCATCAATTGTGGGGCAGCCGGACAAATGAAGTCTTAAATAAGTTTCTCATTATTTATAATATTCTCTCAAGTGGGATTCGCTAAATACAAGAGAGAATCTCATGGAAATCAAGACCATGTCTGGCATATTTCACCCCAAAATAAAAAGAATGAAATGAGAAATTACAAATTTTGTGTTAAAAAATTCATCCTTATAATTTTGAGCTGTTACATCAATTTCATGACATTTAAGCACATTTCCTACACAATGTTTAAGTTTAAAAAAAAAAGTAACTTTTTTTTTAATGTGCATTATTATTATTCTACATAAATTTACATTAATTTCCTTCGCAAATTCTCATTATTATAATGGCAAAAAATTTTATAATAATAATATATAGATAGACATTATTATTATTATTCAATATATTATTATAAAGTATTTAGAATTTATGCATTTTAATTTATGCTATAAAAAGTATTTTATTAAAACAATTTATTTTTACAATGAGAATTGCAAAAAAAACATATGGACATATGAATTAAAATTCAGGGGATAAATGTGCTTAAATGTCATTCAAGTAAAATAACATTTTGTTTAAAGAAAACTAAGCTTGTTAGCAATTAACATCATTTTGCATTATTTTACATAATAATAATAATAATAATTATTATTATTATTATTATTATTTAGTACTTTCAATTTGGGGGATAGATATACTTAACTGTCCTGAAATAATGCAAGAATTTAAATAAATAATTTATATTTATAACATTTGATAAATATGGCTTCATTTATTTATTAAATGTATCATAATGTATGATATATTTCCTGTTTTCTGATTTTGGGGTGAAAAATTATCATACATGTTTCTGTGACATTCACTCACAAAAGTGAATATTTGTTTGACAAAAAAAAAGAAAAAAAAAAAGACAAAATTAGTATTGAGCTGCATAAAGCAAATGTGTGTCATATGTCCTTAGCGTGAGTTTAATCCTAATTTGACAAGCAGCTTGTCAGCAGAGAAGCATCATTTGTCATAGCGCAGCATTAGAGAAGACACCTGGCGTGATTCCAATCTACAGCCATTACAGAGCTGCTCCAGTCTCACTCAGAGACATTGTGTGGCCATTTGGAAGATGGTTGTTATGGCAACAGGTTGAGTAATTACCCAGAAAGCTATGGGACGGTTTGTCTTCCACAACTTTGATTCGCCGAGCTCCCACCGGAATGACAGCTGCCTCGATGTAACCTTTGGGAAGGAGAGAAATAAGAGGAGAAACGAGAGAAAGAAGGGTGGAACATGAAAAGAGACGAGCGAGATTTCATACTGGTGCACAGGTGGGCAGACACAGGTGCAGGTGTGCATTTCTGTAAACATGTACGCAGTCGTGTGTGGATAAAGCACATGTGTCTGTCACTACAAACAGTGTGTATTCCTGGCCAGTCAGAGTAGATCATTAACAATATATATATAACATATATATATATATATATATATATACATACTTTGGTGATCAGAAGCAAGGCATTTTCCTCTGACCTACACACACAACTCCCATTTCAAACACCATTGTGACACAAAGTGTCTGGGCAGTAATGATAAAACCAATCTGCTGTACTGTTTATACACACACAACAGCCACATTCAGAAACGGATGCTCAGATACATCATTGCACTGAGTGCAAGGAACGCTGATGGCTCCGTGTATGCCAGTAATTGCAATCGGTTCAGCTCATTTAAAGAGGAGACCTCAGACTCTAGCGGCTTTGTGAAACATGTTTTCTCATATGAAGGACGAGATTAGTGTGACCTCAACTGAGATGATCTGACCTGCGCTTCGGATGACAGGCTGGTGTCCTTTACTGCCCCACACTTTGCACCAAAGACGCTTTATACTCACCGTGTTTGTCCTGGCGTGATCGCAAACATGAGGTTATCACTCCACACAGCACCATAAACCCCCGTTAAACACCCAAAACGTCACGACGGCCACCCGATCGCATAAAACACACCGAGCCCAGATCACAAACACACACTCATTCACATGCCACCACATCTGGAGGACCTGCAATAACCGTTGGACTTCGGGATTCGGTTTCTGTTTGGTTTTGTTATGGAGAGTAATTAATCTCAAACAATGAAAGTTGAGGGTATAGATGTAGGAAAGCTTTTCTGCCAAGCCGTTATTGGCCTCTCCTGGAAGATGGACTGAAATTTGTCAGGAAACTTTATTGTATCAGTGATGTCTACCTTTTGAAAAGGAATAGCTCACCCAGAGATGAAAATGATGTGTAATTTTCGGTCTTTTGTGAAATACAAAATGATGGTGATGCTTTACTGAATGTCTGAGCTACTGTTCTTACAAAGAAAGTGGATGGTGATTAATACTACAATGCAAAATTGCAATACTACATGAACAGAAAACTCATATGAGCTACTTTTATGGCATTTCTGTCATTTTAGGAGCTTTAAAGTATAAATCATGTTCCACTTTTGTTGGCAACAGAAGACAACAGATCTATTTTTCAGTTTTACAGGAGAAAATGAAATCATACAGGTCTGAAACAACAACAGGGTGAGAAGCGATTACAGTATTTTCATTTCTGGGTGAAATATTCCTTCAGTGCCTCAGTAAAGACATAGGGTCAGTGTTCAGCAAGTATCTAACAGTCACAGAATCAATTTTGCTTCAATTTTGCACATTATAAGACGAACGAATAATAGGGTGATGTTTCTGTATTTCTGGCTGAGCAAATGCTACCTTTCAAAAAGCTGGGGTCAGATTTGTTTAGTCTTTTTTGAAAGAAATTAATACTTCTATTCAGCAAGGACACATTAAATTAATCAAAAGTGACAGTAAAGACATTTATAATGTTACTAAAAGATTTCTATTTCACAGAAAAAAATTTATTTTAAAATTTATATTCATCAAAGAAAAAATGTATGACAGTTTCCACAAAAATATGAAGCAGCACAACTGTTTTCAAGATTGAAAAATAATAATAAATGTTTCTTAAGCAGCAAATCAACATATTAGACACTGAAGACTGGAGTAATGATGCTGAAAATTCAGCTTTGCATAACAGAAATAAATTACATTTTAATATACATTCAAATAGAAAAGAGTAATTTTAAATTGTAACATTTACTGTTTTTAAGATACTTCATATTTTTGAACAGTAGCATATAAACCCAACAGATGCTTAATTTTAGTTGATTTTACCAAACTGAGGCCTTGAGAGAGACTTGAACTCGATATAACTCTTCCAGGAGAATCCAAAAAGGGCTTAAAGGGTTAGTTCACCCAAAAATTAAAATTAGGGCATAAATTACTCACCCTCAAGTCATCCTAGGTGTATATGACTTAGGTGTATAGGCCTCCTGTAGCGAATCGATGTGTTTTTCTAAGTAAAATATCCATATTCAAAACTTAATAATCACTTTAATCTAGCTTGCGCCAACAGTTGTACACAGAAGCAGCTCCGGGAGCATGACGTATGAGTTCAGCGCTGCGCATGCGCCGGTGAGTCTCGTGAAAACCAACGTTTGTTAACAGGAGCAAAGGAAGCAAAGTTTCCTTACTTTAGCAAAGGAAAACCAGTCTCCTCTTGGCTTATATCGAAATCCTCCGACATTCTTCTTTACAAATCCTCGTTTTGTACTTCTAATTAGTGACCGTTGTTTTGTTTTGATCTCTTCGCTGCGCTTCCGCGTTCGTCACTTCTGAGCGGCGCATGCGCAAAGCCGACCTCATACGTCATCCGCCCGGAACTGATGAGCTACTTTTATGGCATTTCTGTCATTTTAGGAGCTTTAAAGTATAAATCATGTTCCACTTTTGTTGGCAACAGAAGACAACAGATCTATTTTTCAGTTTTACAGGAGAAAATGAAATCATACAGGTCTGAAACAACAACAGGGTGAGAAGCGATTACAGTATTTTCATTTCTGGGTGAAATATTCCTTCAGTGCCTCAGTAAAGACATAGGGTCAGTGTTCAGCAAGTATCTAACAGTCACAGAATCAATTTTGCTTCAATTTTGCACATTATAAGACGAACGAATAATAGGGTGATGTTTCTGTATTTCTGGCTGAGCAAATGCTACCTTTCAAAAAGCTGGGGTCAGATTTGTTTAGTCTTTTTTGAAAGAAATTAATACTTCTATTCAGCAAGGACACATTAAATTAATCAAAAGTGACAGTAAAGACATTTATAATGTTACTAAAAGATTTCTATTTCACAGAAAAAAATTTATTTTAAAATTTATATTCATCAAAGAAAAAATGTATGACAGTTTCCACAAAAATATGAAGCAGCACAACTGTTTTCAAGATTGAAAAATAATAATAAATGTTTCTTAAGCAGCAAATCAACATATTAGACACTGAAGACTGGAGTAATGATGCTGAAAATTCAGCTTTGCATAACAGAAATAAATTACATTTTAATATACATTCAAATAGAAAAGAGTAATTTTAAATTGTAACATTTACTGTTTTTAAGATACTTCATATTTTTGAACAGTAGCATATAAACCCAACAGATGCTTAATTTTAGTTGATTTTACCAAACTGAGGCCTTGAGAGAGACTTGAACTCGATATAACTCTTCCAGGAGAATCCAAAAAGGGCTTAAAGGGTTAGTTCACCCAAAAATTAAAATTAGGGCATAAATTACTCACCCTCAAGTCATCCTAGGTGTATATGACTTAGGTGTATAGGCCTCCTGTAGCGAATCGATGTGTTTTTCTAAGTAAAATATCCATATTCAAAACTTAATAATCACTTTAATCTAGCTTGCGCCAACAGTTGTACACAGAAGCAG